CTTCCCATTCTAAATTCTCTATATGTCATCCTCTGTTCTTTAGTGTTAAGGTCCCTAACTCTTTAACCTTTATTTTATTCTACTTCACACCAGCTCTTAGATCTAGTGAGGCCAGAGTTCTCACCATTTTACAGAAATACAGAATTAATCTCCAGCTCTTAATGTTCCATAAGGCATTCCTATCTTCAAGGGCCTCAGAGTGTAGACAGGAGCACAGGCTGGCTATAGTAAAAGCTAATAAGGAGCTGACCATCTTTATAAACAGAGATCCATGTAAAACAGATGAAGAAGTGGTTACTTCAGCCAGGGATGGAGGCGTAGGTGGGTGGAAGGGCTGGGAAAGGCTTTGGAGAGGAAGTAACATTTGAGTCATTTGTTCGAGAATGAGAATGATTTCATTTGGGGCAGAGAGAGCAGCATGACCAAAAGCCTGAAAGTAAATATCCACATCCAAGGCATTACAGCAGATGGCTAGAGGGATGGTTGAGAATGAATAGACACACCTGATGAAGCTGGCAAGGGCCAGGCTGGGAAGTTCTCTGATGCTCTATCAAGAAACTGAAAAAGAGCAGCCTTCATTTTCTTGAATTCCTGGCACAACTATTCTTTGTGAAGTTAATTTGGTAATTTTTTATTTTTAATAAATATCTACAAGTGACTGATAGGCTTCCAGAAAACCAGAAATGCCAGAAGCTGTTTACTTTCCTTCTCGGTTTTTCCCACACAGTGCAGTTCATAGGATTAAAGTCAGCACAGCACAGAGATAAAAAGTACAAATTTAGGGGTTTGAATCCTTCGCTTCTAACTGGGTAAACTTAGGCAAGTTACATCACCTCTCTAAATGTCACATTTTCCTTTGATAATACCAATTTGTATATGATAGGCCTCCTGTAATGATTCAATAAATGCTTAACAAATATTTGCTACTCAATTATTTAATAAGCATTAATTGACCACCTACTATAGGGCAAGATTTTTACTATACAGTGAAGAGTTAGACAGGACAAGGGTTTTGTAGTCCAGTATTTATTATTACTATTATTATTATTGTTACTAGTAATATAGATTTTTAATAAATACTATTAAAACTAATTAATGTGTTTCAGCTACATCAATCTCCTATCCATGATCCTGGAGTATGCTACATGATGATTGATTGACAAAAGCTGCCACATCCAACGCTTATGGAACCTGTCAGTTATATGATTGTGCAGCCTTGGCAGAGCCATCATTCTAACTAGTTTCGGTAGGTACAGTAAACTTGGAGGTGACTCTACATAAGACCAATCTCAGAAGGATGACCATGCAGGCTCAGAACTAATTCTGGGTATGGCTCAGTCAAATTTGGGCTGGTTGAACTGTTCTCCAAAATTTGCAATTACTAGAGTTCAGGAATGCAGAACACTGGAATCCTGGGATTAGCTAATTTTTGTGCAAGCTATTCCATGATAAAGCTGTATTTCTGTTTTTAATGCTGGTCAAGTGAGTGCGCAAAAGCAAACACTGCCCAAGTTCTGGTAGATGTGATGATTCCTTACTTAATAAAGGGATGAAACTGTTGATTACCAAGAATTAGAGTCACCAACAGCAGAGAAAGGGAGTGGAAGCAGGTATTATGCATCGAGACTTGGAAGTCATCCTAAAGACAGCCTGGGTCTGCTGGCCACCAGCAGAAGCACTAGAATGACTGGGCAGTGGGGTAGATCACCACAGTCCTACCAAGGAGAGTAATTTAACTTCTCAGCACAACTATAGGGATAAGATCTGTAAACAGTTTGCTGGTAAACATATCCTTTCATGGATTATGTTATTCTAAGATTGCCTCTGTTTATTTGCTGCTCAGTTTAGCTTTTTGCCTTTTAAAAAACACTTTTTAGCATCTGTATGTCCTGGGTGCAAGTTTTTTACTGCTTACCAAATTATTTTCTCTTCTCTCAAGGAGAAGTCCTATGGTACCTGCCAATTACATCCTGATTTACAATTGGAAGTGGGGCACGAAGCTACATCTTACTCTGTGGAAAAAAAAAAAGAATTCACTATCTTTAATCTCTTTTCACATTCTTTCTCTCATTTCTTTTTGGTTGGTCAAATAATGGCTTTAAGTTCTCTTCTGATCAGTGGTTATAATTCCTAATTTATATAAGCTATAGCTTCCAAAATCGTCTTTAGTCAAGGCCTTTTCTACAATAGAATCTCAAAAGATATTTTTTTAAATCAAATTTTTAAAGAAATTTGAAAAGCTTTAAGAAAATACTAGAAGCAGATATGGTTGATATCAATGCCAAGTTAAAGAAAAGTATAAGAATCATATGATTTCACTCAAATGTGGAATATAAAACAAAAAGCAACAAACAAATAAAATAAATAAACTTGTAAAAACAAACGACAACATGATGGTGATAAAGAGAGTAAATGAAGTCAAATATATGGTGAAGGAGATAAGACTTTGGGTGCTAAGCACATAATGCAGCATACAGGTGACGTATTAAAGAACTGTTCACCTAAACTTATAGAATATTATATACTGTTATTAACCAATGTTACGCAAATAAATTTAATTAAAATGATATAGCTACTTGGAATAGAGCAAAATTTAGAGGTCTGATTGTCTACATATCCCAACTTAAACTACTTTGAATTACGTTTTGTAGAAGATTAATTACCACAGTCCCTTAAGAAGGATGTTTGACATTTGATGCTACAACATTATGTGCCTTCAAGTGTAAAGAAATATCTTACATATATTAAACACCTAATGTATAGTTTTGAAATTGCTTTGAAGAAATAGATCTTCTGGGAAGTCATGGGATGTGATAAAATACATTATCTCATCAGAAAATTAGAGGTAATAGAGGAAGGTTTCCAGGCAAGAAGACAGCCTGAGATAGAATATTTCACTAGAATTAAGCAAACAAGAGCAAAACAACTCCATGATTACACTGGAGAGATGATGAGCAGATACTGGGAGAAACCATTTGGTACTTTTTGAGTTGACCTCTCGCCTACATCAGTCATGTGATGAATCAGTACATTTTAACTTGAAGTCACCTGACTGCATAAAGTGACTCTGTTGGTCATGTCCCTAGAGATGTAGTGTCACATCTCAGATCCCACCTTGTCTTTACAATGGAATCATGTTCATTTGTGAACCAAACCACTAGCGAGTTGTAGACTGTGACAGATGGCAGAGAAAGAAGGTAGGGCAGCAGGAGTTCCAGTCTTTGGCAAAGCTTGACAAAGGCAGACGAGTGTTGACACTACAATCCAGGAGTGGAAAGAGGATGTTATCTCTGAGGCCATCAGCTGTTTGAAGAACACTTTATCTTTAACATCATCCAGAGAACAATTGAAAGGTCAAATTCTAGATATTCAGGACTGTCTCATGAGGACTGGACTCATCATCGTAGGGATGGAGCCAAAGTTGAAGCAATGGGCATGTGTCAGCATGGCTCCAGTCAGCCCCAGGCTGGCTGCCATCAACAGTGCAGAGTTGGCATGAGGACCAGGAAGCTGAACATGGGGGACCAGGAAGAGGCACACTGGCTCCAGGTGTGAAGAAAGAACTCAAATATTATTTTAACTAATTTCATAATTAGAGTACTGGAAAAGTATGAGGATCGAAAGGGAGCTTCACCAGCTTTGGCTCAAATAGTCTATTCAATTAAATTCAGCAGCAGTTTTTGAGCACTGATCATGTATGAAGTATTGTGATATAAAATAGTCCAGGCTCTCAAAAAATTTGCAATCTAGTGGGAAAAATAAGACATAAAAAATAATATAAGGCAAAGATATAAGTTCCTTGAGAGAGATAGAAACAAAGAATTATGCTGGATTCATAAAGAGATATCTTATGCAGTTAGTATATTTAAAAAGACTTCATGGAAGATGCCAATTTGGGAATAATTTTGAGAGGTAGGAGCTTTAGAGAGGGAGGAGTGCATCTTAGGTAGAGGGAGTATCATGAACAAGTCAGACACAAGAAAGCACAGGTTATATTTGCATATTGTAATATATACCAGTTTGGCAGGTGGTCAAGCATTTGTAATAGACTATTGGAAGATGAGATTAGAAAATTAGCTGGAGACAGATAGTGGAGTCATTGAGTATCAGAGGGAATGGGTTGTCATTAAGGTGTGTAAGCAACATTACTTCTAGAAGTCTTCATGACAGACTTCTCCATTAAACATACCCTTAAATCACAATTAAAATTACTTAGCCTATGTTTCCTTTAACCTTTAAATTACTTAGCCTATGTTTCCTTTAACCATAAAAGCCTGAAACAATATAGCTTTCCTATAACAGATGTGTGAATGTACCCAACAGATGCATGAATGTACCTTCCAAAATGAGAATTCATTGTATGTTGTTTATGTTACCTATAGCTACGTTTTATTTTCATTTTTTTTTTTTTTTTTTGCATTTTGCTTAACCTAATAAATTGTGATAGAAAGTGAGGCCTCACCATCATAGTCACTCCCCACCCACCCCCCTGTCAAATCAAAACATTCAACTCAACTTTAGGATGAACACGAGACCTTCTCCATATGGGCCGAGGTTCGGAGTTTTTCAACTGAGCTCTGGCCTTACTGACTTAAAAAAAAAAAAATCTTAATGACACTTTAACTATTTATAAGAGTCACTGAGCTAGAGTCTATAAAATGCTCCTTGTGCCCTGCCTCTGCTAGAGCAGGCACTATGTAGTAAAGAAGGCGAGAGAACGTAAGACAAGTCCTACTGGCCTGGCAAGGGTCCCACCTAATTCCTCATGACGTGTTCAGTTCAGGTGACACCTTTTAGGAGGTGTGGATAGGCAGTTAATTTCATGGAGAGTAGGAGGTGTAGGTTTGGATTTTTTTTTTTTTTTTTTTACAGTGGGGCATTATCTGAATGATATTCATTCTCTCTTGAGTTTGGACTTCACGCAACAAGCAGCAACCGGATGTTATTTTAAAATAAGCAAAAGCCACTGGAAGATACTGGTTGGGGTACTTGTTTGGGAGGAAGAGTTGGTTGAGAAGTGCTTCTTGGGCAAGAATTAAACCAATCTTTGCAAAGGAAAAGAAGATCAGTGGAAGAGAAAATCTGTGGGTTTCTTACCCCAGCTGTCACAAAAGCTATGCCGTGAAAAGGCTTTTCTGATCCGTTGACACACAGCAAGTTAGACCAATTCTTCTTTTGAGGGGTGAAGGAAAAAAGAGAAATTCTCTTGTTTGTGCTGCTTGAAGGATGGCTTCCCAGTTTCACCAGCTTCGGGTCCTGGTCTGGAAAAATTGGCTAGGTGTCAAAAGGCAGCCGGTGAGTAAAAAAATAAGGGGGTGGGGGGTGGGAGTAGGGCACGGGCAATGCTCCAAGCAATCCTACAATGTGATGTTAATGAGAGGGAAAAAGAACAGTTTTAAGGCAAATTTCAGAGCAGGCAATAAGATATTTAGAAATCATCGCTGCATCTGTCTTCTAGCTAATAGGGCAAGTCTGAACTTGCCCCTAAAGCAGCCTTTTGATTTCAGTAAATTAAAACAGTAAACCAGGATATGCCCAGAGCACAGAAAAGGATGTGTCTTATTCCCGGTCGAATTTGGAACTCGTGTTGAGTTTTAGGTTTCTGGCCCAGGTGCTTTCAGAAATTTCCTTGATGAATTTAGTTAAAAATGAGATGCAGGAAAGAAAAACCGGATAGAAGGTACAATAAATGCGAGAGAAATATACTTGAAAACTAAAAGCAATAGAAAACTTGGTTGAAAAGTAAGATGTGGAAAGGGAATAGTTTGAAGGCTGTTGGTACAGAAAAGCTTCTAAGAAATTTTAGCATCTAAAAATTATTTACTAGAAATGCCAAACAAGAGCCAGTGTATATGCCATGTTTCCAGACTGTTGCTGAATTACTTAATTTTCCTGCTACAGTCTGTCTATTCTGCTCATTACATCTTTTTTGTGCCCTTACATTCACGTTTGCTTTTAAATTACAAAGCCAGCTATTAGATCCTCACCAGATAGGGCCATGGGAGACTGAGAAAGGAACTGGCTTCTGTAAAAAAGTGTTTGAAAACCAGAAGAATCCAAAAAAGCACTCAATATCCTTTATTTTAGAATGGTAATTCCTAGCCTTAAATAAATAATATAAATATTATGCAAATAGCATGAGTCTTATAAACCAACGTTTTATCTGTGCACATTATCTCACTCTATGTTTGCTTACAGTGCCTGACAACTTTCATAAGTGTTCTGGTGTATATATATATTAAGAGGAAGAAGTAAATGTTCACTTATCTTTGTGAATTTGGTGGGTAGGATTTTAAATCATAAAGCATTATGTGATTGCATGGGTGTGAGGTTTGAACATAAAATTTTAAACTATTGCTATTTTTATTTTATTGTTTTTTAAACTGAAAACAGCACAAAAGTAAAACTTGCCATATTTATCCCATGGTAGACTTTGTGTGGAATTCAGTAGGGAGAGAGTCTGGGTACGTAGATATGGTCAGAAGATAAGAGCTGGGTTCTTGGTTTTGTTCCTTACCAGCTACAAGACTTGAGTAGCAAATCACCATTTCTCACTTCTAAAATAGGCATGAAATCTACCATATCCATCTCATAGGGTAGTTAGATCCAAATGTGCTCACGTATTTCAAACTTCTTTAAAAATGGTGAAACCTTTGGCAAGTAGATTACAAAGGGATTTAGGACAATGTGCATATCATATTGTACTCAATGTAAAGATGAAAAGAAATCCAGGAGAAGGGATTATGGGAGAGAAGAAGAAATTTATATATAGCAAAGTTCTTCAGTGGTAAAAACACAATAGTTAAAAATAAAAGCATAGAGGAAATAAAAACATCAATTATTGCTGATAGAATGTTCAGGTTATATATTTTCCTTACAATTCCATTTTATCTAAAAATTTAAAAAACCTTCAAGTGAATAAAATTATTCATTGAGAAATTTTATCCTTTGAAACTTTAATATATTTTTCTTCCTCATCTATAAAGTAGTGGTATATCAATGTTCTGCTTTTAGAGTTTTTCTCAGTTTTAGTCAATTTCTGCTGGACATGGCATATTTGGAGGGGATGTAAGTTAGGTATGCTAAAATGTTTATACTGTGATATCTTATATTATTCCTACTTAGACCAAATCCCTAAAAAAAAAAACCCTGGTAATTATACTTTTGCCTAGGGCAAGATAATACATAAGCGATTAGTTCATTCTGAAACATCAAATCATATAGAAGTTAAGTGCACCTTGAGAGAATGAGACCAAAAACAGAGGTCTTTGTTGCAGGAAGAGAGATCAGAAAAAGTCCGGAATTTGGGATAAAATAGAAAACTCACCTAAATCCTTAATGACCAACTAGAAGGACACGAGAGACCTTTAGAACATAGTAGTGCCAAAAGGGGAAGGAAAGACAATTCTAACAGATGGGCAAGAAGACAAAGAGAAGCATCTTTCTTCATAGTTTTGCCTGGGGCTAGCCCTGTACCTGGATATTGGAAGAAAGACTTCAGGACACAGGTGGTTAGGATATCCACGTGCCAGAGTTACTTAAGAGAAAAAAGAAAAAGAAAATCAGGAGGTTGAACAGTTAAGATTAAAGATCTAAAAGGAGATGAAATAAAAGAAAATTTTGAACAGAGAAAATATAGACAAATTAGAAGACAGAGAATGTGAAAAACAGGTGTATATATATTTTAGGAGAATATATAGTCTTTATGTAGGAACTGGACTTTGCCATCTGTCATGTGATAATTTAAAATGCAAGTATTTTACTCTATCTTTGTGATTTTTCTAAACATGGTGCCTTAAAAAAATATATTTATACCAAGGAAAATAGAAATTAGCATGTGTGACTTTGAAAATGTATAGGCCTTACTGAATGTCAAAGAAAAAATGCTAGCATCCTCACAATGATATTCTCCTCCAGTCTGTTGTCAAATCTATCACACAGCAAGGTAGTGAGAAGAGAAATCTACAAAGGAAAAAGTTAGGAATCTAGTAATGGAAAAACAAATTAAATATAAGAAAGAATAAAAAAAGAAAAAAAAAGATATAGTGAAAATATTAGAGTGGGAGATTACTGAGGAAACACGTCATAAAACATATATACTACAATAGAAAGTGAGAAAAGAATTTCAAACATCCATACAGTCTAAGAAATAGAATGACAATGGGATAAATTAAATGTCGAGTTTGGCTGCAAAAAAAGGAAGACAGATCTTGAATTTTATAGGTGACTTTCCTCAAAATTGTTCTTAGATAAGTCTCTCTCTCTCTCTCTCTCTCTCTCTCTCTCTCTCTCTCTCTCTCTCTTTCTCTCTCTCTCTCATAAAATCAAATATCAGAATTCTTGACTATTTTGGATTATCTGTTTTAATTTCATAGGGTTTCAGAGAGTTCAAGGGATTTGTTTAAGGTCACACAGTGAATTTAAGGACTCAGAACAGATTTCTCCCAAAGTAGATTTATTCTTTCTATTACTTCCTGAGTTGAGTTTCCTTTCCTAATATTTCTCTGATTCTTGCTCAGAGTTCAGCTCACCAACAAAGAGATCGTATTTGCTAAGGAAGCCCTAGACATTGCTTTTTAAAAAAATATTAGTGATAATATCAATTCTCAATTACATCATTTTAACCTAAAAAATAAAAAGCCAAATTGAGAGGCAACAATGTTTGAGCTCAAAGAATAGCTATTTGAGAAACAATGATTTAGGCAGAAACCCAAATAGTGTTCTGGGGTGAAGGCAAGGAGTTTTTGTGAGAGAAGGAAGGAAAATAATTACATGAATAGAAGAAATTTCTACTGGTGCTAGTAAGCGAAGTTATTCATGTGCTCTACATAGCTATTTATTGATTCTAAAAGTCTTTAATCTTCAGTTTTTGATCAGGATGTGCTTTCCTGTTAGCTCTGCAAACAGTTCATAGTTTATCTGGCCCAATTCAAAGTTTATTTGGCCCAAGTCAAACTTTCCAAAAGTTCAAGGAGCAAGACATGCAAGGCCTTTTCTTGGGGATGGTGGCTCTGACTCTATTTTGAAATGACTCCACTTACATCATTGTTTTTCTTATTTCCCCCTTTTGATTGAGATTTTTCCTTGAAAGCATCTCTGATCAACAGTTGGAGAGCAACACTGATCAGTCGTTTAAAGCTTCATTGATCTGTCACTGGGAAGGCTCATTCCCAGTATATCATGTCCCATGTAAGAGGGAAAGTGGTTTCCTTACGAGACTTAGGCCATGTTTAAGCAACAAGAGCACCAGAACAGAGGAAAGCCTTAATATCATGTTTTTTTAGGGCAAATACCTTCAGTTACCTGAGGTTTTTTTTTTATATGAAGTCGCATAGGCTTTAGTGATTATCTCAAAGCTCTGAGCAACCGTTATCCAAGTGTGTCTTTATAACATTGAGCTATGTAAAGGAGATAAAATTCTATAACAAGAATTTCTATAATGATAAGCAAAATACTAAGTCCAATTTGGAGAAGAGACCTGAGTAGAAGGCAATGCTTGAAGGTAGCCAGCTAACAAGGTCAAGGACCATTATGTGCCAGCGGGCAATGTATTTAGCCCTTTGCTCTGTGCCCAGATTTGACCTAGTTCTGTCTCTACTTTGCCAGGGGTAGACCTGTGGTGCAAACAATCCAGTATTTAATGAGACATTTCTATAGAAACAAAAGATAAACAAAGGTTAATGGTAAGAAACCAGTGTCTGAGCCTAAGGGGCAGCCAGTCAAGAAAAATTTTAGATGTCAAGATTGAAGCATCTTTTGCAGTTTGAAATGTCTCTAATGATGTCATCGATTGTTCAGGTAAACGTTCCAAGTGGCTTACACAACATCAGCATGAAGATTGTCAAAGCACGAGAATGTGTGGTGATTTCTGTGAAGCTCATATCAAGGTCATTTACATTTAGTTTCCAGGGCTTTGGGGAAAATGGCAGCTTTAGTTCTCAGTGATTCCAAGTCAAAAGTGGAAGAAAAATTGGAAACGCTAGTTTGGAGACTTGTAGCCAAATATTTGAGGAGACTAGAAGAATTCAGGATTTAATTCAGTTTATAGGTAGAGAACAAAACCTCAAAGACAATTAACAGAAGTAATATCCGTAAGTGTGTATTATAGTTTCCATTAAAACATAATTTTTTTCCTCTCTCTACAATTATCTTCATTTTTACCAAAGATATTTTGCAAGCAAATTAGTTTTACTATAATTAAGTCTAGTTTTAATGAACTTGGCCTGATCATCTACATAAATGTATCAAGTATAGCAATTGATCATATAGGCTCATTTAAATCTGCTTTGCTGGAA